TGGACATGTCGTCTGAGGAATGGGAGGGGGAGTTGAAATGGTTCGCGACTGGGAGGTGCAGTTGTTTATTGCGAACCGAGCGTAGGTGTTCTGCAAAGCGGTCTTGCTTTTACGTAATGCAGCAAATCCTTGCAATCCACTACCAGATAAACATCCCTCATTTCCTGCAGAGGGGGCCCACTGCTCTTAAGGCTGAAGGGTTTCTGCTCTGGATCATTATCCTGGGAGAACTGGCAGTGGGCCTGTTTTAGATTGTGTGATACAGGCTCTAATGTGGCTGCCTGGCCTCACATTTTAATGGAAACAAAAACAATGAACAACAACACAGAGGAAGAACAGAAAATTACTAAAGCTTGGGGAACAAGCAATGTTGTGCAATTATATGTTTAATTCTTGGTTAAAAACAATAAATGCCACGACTAAGAGGTTGATCAAATTTACACCACTCATGCGGTCAGAATAAAAACCTTTAGATCTCGTCAAAATGACACAAATTTGGCGGAGTATAGATCAATTTGGGTTTGGCAGCGCTTACCCATTCACAAGCACAGCACAGTGAAAATTTCGAGAAACAACATTCTGACTGTGTATCTATTTCATCTCTGATGCCAACCTAAATGTGTTCTAATGTTGTAGTTCTACAGAGTTAAATTCCTTAGCTCTACTTTGTAGTATGGAGGTAGCAGAAAGAAAATAGAGTGAGATATGTGTGCTGCTTTATGTTTTGATGCAACAAAGTGTAAAGGTAACCTAGTTAATTAAAGCTGTGGGGATTCAGGGGAGGGTCTGGTAATGAATTAGCAATGACTACTTTTTTATCATAGTGGCACTGGTGAGAGGGGGTGCTGTAGCAGCATTAAGTGCGTTGCCCCAGAAATCAGCGCCAGAACTGAAATTGTTTCTAAATTTACATAAGTGACCCGGATTCAAAACCTCAATGAAAAGTGGTCAGATTTGTAGACAATATTAAACTAGAAAGCAGAGTGGAATTCTCTAAAGCAATCTAGAAATTATAGAATGAGCTGGACGTGAGAAGTAAGTAAACAGGATAATGGAAGATGAGCAATTATATTAACAATTAGAAAGTGCTATACACAGAAAGGAAACATAGATAACATAGATTCTATAAACAATGCTGGAAAACTAAAAGTTAATCCACAAAAGACAGAGGCAAATTTTTAGACTCATTGTTAACCATTTCTAACCCATGTAGAGCTGTAATCAGCAAAACCAGCAGTATGTTGAATTAGATAACCAAACCACATAACACAAATATAGAAAGGCTACAGGAAGGATGTTGTTAAACCGAGAACAGGTACAGAAAATAAATTACAAGAATGTTGCCAGGACTGGAGAGTTTGAGTGAGAAGGAGAGGCTGGATAGGCTGGTACTTTTTCCCCTGGAGTGTCGGAGGCTGAGGGGTGACCTTATCCAGGTTTATAAAATCATGATGGGCATGGATAAAGTGAATGGCCAGGATCTTTTCCCCAGGGTAGAGGAGTCCAAAACTAGAGGGCATAGGTTCAAGATGAGAGGGGAAAGATTTAAAAGGGACATGAGGGGTAACTTTTTCACACAGAGGGTGGTGCATATATGGGATGAGTTGCCACAGGATATGGTAGAAGTGGGTACAATTGCAACATTTAAAAGACATTTGGACAGGCACACGAATAGGAAAGGTTTGGAGGAATATGGGTCAAACGCAGACAAATGGGGGCTCATTCAGTTCAGGTTTAGGTTACCAGGTCAGCATGGACGAGTTGGACCAAAGAGTCTGTTTCCATGCTGTATGTCTCTGTGACTCTAAACCAGAGTAAGAAGTGCTCAAACCCAAAGTGATCTAGTCATATCATATCTTGCCCTCACTTTTCATCCCACCAGCCTCTGTATTCAAAGGATCACTCTCTGCCATTTCAGACAACTCCAGAAGAACACCACCACTAAACACATCTTCCCCTCACTCCCCATCTCTGCATTTCACAGAGATCATTTCCTCCGGGGCATCCTAGTCCATTCCACAACCACCAACACCATCCCCTTTTGCCACGGCACATTCCTATGTAACTTCAGAAGGTGCAACACCTGCCCCCTCACCTCCTCCCTGCTCACTATCCAAGGGTCTAAACAATCTTTCCAGGTGAAGCAGCATTTCACCTGTACCTCCTCCAATCTTGTGTACTGTATTCGCTGCACCCAATGTGGCCTACTCTACATTGGAGAAACCACACGCAGACTGAGTGACTACTTTGGGAAACACCTCTGGTCTGTGCACGAGCATGACCCCGACCTTCCCGTATTCGGTCATTTTAACACAGCGTCCTGCTCGCGTGCCCTCTGTCTGTCCTCAGCTTGCTGCAGTGTTCCAATGAATCACAGCGCAAACTGGAGGAACAACATCTCATCTTCAGACTAGGTACTTTCTAGCCTTCGGGACTTAACATTGAGTTCAACACCTTCAAATTGTGAACCATCTCCCATTTCCATTTCTTTTGGTTTTACTTGTTACTTTCTGTTTATTACATCCTCTCTCCCTCCCCCCACCCCAGTGGGACTGTTTGTTCTTTCAAGTCTGGTAGGTAGACATACCATTGTTCTGCCATTCTCACATTCCAATCACTTAATCTGAACTATCAACATCTTTTCTCCACCAGCACCCTGCGCCCACCACACCCACACCCTTCCACACCCCAACAACAGCATAAATGCTGCCCCCTCCACACTTCAGTTCTAATGAAGAGTCATCTAGACTTGAAACGTTAGCTTGCTCTCTCTCCATGGATGTTGTCTGACCTGCTCTGATTTCCAGCATGTGTTGTTTTCAGTACAGATTCCAGCATCTGCAGTAATTTGCTCCTAAATATCACATTTTGAATGCTGCTTCTAGTTCTGCTGACGAATACAATTATAATTTAACTTGAAGATAGCAAGAACTGCAGATGCTGGAGTCAGAGACAACACAGTGTGTGTTTCTGAAGCAGGGTCTAGGCCCGAAATGTCGGCCTTCCTGCTCCTCTGATGCTGCTTGGCCTGCTGTGTTCATCCAGCTCTACACCTTGTTAACACAGTGTGGGGCTGGAAGAACACAGCAGGCCAGGCATCATCAGAGGAATAGGAAAGTCGACATTTCTACTGTATCCGTTGCTCCCGATGTGGCCTCCTCAATATCGATGAGACCAAGCGCAGACTCAGGGGATGTTTCGTGGAGCATCTGTGCTCTTTATGCGATAATCGAGAACCCTCCCTCTCAACCTCGCCTCCTTGACTTGACACAACATGTCCATCTCCTCTCCCACATATCTGCCCCACCTTTCCCTGACCAATCCACACTACCCCCTACTTGCATCCACCTATCACCTTCCCACCTACCTTCCCCAGCCCCACCCCTCCTCCCTCTATTTATTTCCCAGCTCCCTTCCCCCTCCCCAGTTCTGAAGAAGGGTCCCGACCCGAAACATCAATTTTCCTGCTCCTCTGATGCTGCCTGACCTGCTGTGTTTCTCCAGCTCCACACTGTGTTGACTCTTATAATTTAACTCATTCTTATTCTAGTGAATCTGCATTGCATCCAACTCAAGGCCAATTTATCTTTCCTTAGATGTGGCATTCCGTACTGAATGTAATACCCTGGATGCAGTGAGACAACTGCCTTACATAACAAAATAATAGTTAAAAAAAAACTCTTCACAAAGATGAAATGAATAATTGGATTACACTTCCAGGACGAGTTGGTGAGGCAAGATACCTGAAATAATTTAACAAACACTGAAACAGTATAATAGATCATATTGGGCTCTGTCTGAATTAATGACAAGTTGGTACAAATGACCTTCTTTATCCATAATTATCGTGTGTGCTGAATTGTCAATCCTCTGGTTTTGATGCAGTGATGTTGTGTTATTTTCAATGCAAGAGGCAAGAGATTGTGTTGTTCTTCTCTGATAGTTTACACAAGCACTCGTGCCCAACAGTCTTAACCTGTAGACCTGTGAACACCTGTACATCTGTGCCAATGAAGTTGATCTGTGGTTGACCCACCTCAGAGTAGATCAATGAGAATCAATTGACTATACTTCCAGTTGACTGATCTTTTTAAGAAATGAAACAGATGCACAGGCATAAGTTTGTTTTTCTGATGATTCACTACGTAACATTAAAAATAAAATTGGGGGCAAAATATTCATTTAACGTTGCATACACGGTGGCTCAGTGGTTAGCACTGCTGCCTCACCCTCGGGTGACTGTCTGTGTGGAGTTTGCACCAAAGATGTGCAGGCGAGGTGGATTGGCCATGCTAAATTGCCCATAGTGTTCAGGGATGTGTAGATTAGGTGGGTTATAGGGGGATGGGTCCGGGTGGGATGCTCTGAGGGTCAGTGTGGACTTGTTGGGCCGAAGGGCCTGTTTCCACACAGTAGGGATTGAATGAAATATACCCTTATATACAACCTACTCTGTGTGTGTGCGCATGTGTGTGTGTGTGTGAGTGTGTTTGAGTATCAGGCAATGCAACAGCTGTCAATACAGTGTGGAGCTGGAGGAACACAGCAGGTCAGGCAGCATCAGAAGAGCAGGAGAGTTGCCGATTTGGGCCGAGACCCTTCATCAGGACTCTAAAGATTCACTACCTAACTTTAAAAATAAAGCTTAGCGGGAGAATATGCATACACAGATGAAATATACCCTTATACAGCAGAGGTTCCATTAAGATGACAGAGAAATTTCATCTCTGTGTTTTGTATGGAACAGATCTATCATTGTCAATCTGATTTTATTGCTTTTCTGACATTTTGGGGTAACTGGGTGTCCCCGTTCATCTGTGGATATGGCCAGTTTCAAGGTATACATGTTGATGAGATCCTGATACTGCTACTGCAGACAGAGAGGAACATATAACATGCCAAATGAAAAACTGACATGAGCAGATCAGCCATCCAATTTTACTGACGCTACATTTGACTTTTGTGGCAGCTTTATCGAAGGACATGCTCTGATCTCTCACCTGGCAAATCCCACTCCTCGGCTTACTCCATTTGCATCTCTTAATATCCTTGTGGAGATGACGTGACCAAAAGGTTTCAGCATGTTCTCAAGTTCTTGCTCATCCATGGATATTGGCAGATTTGAGATATACAGGTTGGTTGGGTCCTGTTCTTGCTGCTGCAGAGAAAGAAGAAAATATGACATGAATATTTTCAGTTCAATGCAGGCTATGATTTCCAGATATACGAAAACAAGACCACCAGAAACCAAAGTCAGATAATAAAATTACAAGAGATAGTAGGAACTGCAGATGCTGGAGAATCTGAGATAACAAGGT